GAGGCTGACTTCAAAGTCAACCGACGCCACGAGTGAGATTGCGTGTCGCAATCCAAGACACACGGCGGGTGCTCCAAAACCCGAAAAATCTACAGTGTTAGATAATTCTAGCCCCAGCAGGCTGATGTTAGATGCAGCAAGCATTCTATCCCAAAATGATGTAGTTAACCTTCTTCTAACGAATGCTCGATTGCTGGCGAACAAGATGCATCACCTACGACCCTTATTATCCTTCTCTCGACCACATGTTGTGCTTGTAACGGAAACATGGTTTGATTCGCAGTGCACAGAGCTACTTGTTCCTGCTTTCACGACTTTTGCCAGTGGTCGTCTTACTGGTCGAGGTGGCGGTTGCGTTGTGTACGTCAATGATACTCTAGAAGCGAGTAGATTGGAGGCACCTTCGTCAGGCAGCTTCGAGGAATCGGTCTGGATAAAGGTTAAGATAAAATGCTGTCGTTTGCTCGTTGGTTGCATTTATATGTCGCCCGGCGCTACCAAGGACAAATTAAACCAATTGACTGAATTGTTCGAATGGGTATCCGAGATGTCGTTCTTTCAAAAAATTATAGGTGACAACCTCAACATGTCCGATGTTCCGTAGCAGGGAATGAACGACACCCGCTAAGTATCGGAATTTTCTTTCGTCAGTAATCACTCATGGATGGACACAGCAAGTATGCTCTCCTACTAGAGGCATTAACATTTTAGGCTTGTGTTTCACGTTTGGCATACTCGATGCACAAACACAGACTCTTAGTAATCTCCCTGGGAGCGATCATAAGGTTATGCCACTAACCTTCAAGGTTGCCCAAATAACGGCAACGAAGCCTCACTATGCCCACCAATCTCGACCATATCGCAAATCGGACTGGAACAGCTTCTCTCTGACTATTAGATTCCTTGACTGGGATGGATTTTTCTTACAGACTGTCCAGATATCGCCGCTGATGAGTTCTACCAACATCTGACCTATTGCACTGACCTGCTTGCACCACTGCAATATAGAAAGCAGCCATTGCCTCGTCCTCAAAATCCCATTCCTAAAGCTGTTGCGGTGCGTCTAAAACGCTTGCGCTTTAGGTTTAAGAAAATGAATGATATATGTGCGATCATACAAACTGATAAAATTCTCAAGGACTTGCAAGACCGACATGAAGGAAAGCTTGTCACAAGAGACACAAGCGCTAGCAGCTGCAAACACATATTACATCACATAAGAGTTAGATACGAACCACAATGTCAACAACCTATAACCATTGCCTCATCAGACGGCAGTTTTACTAGCGACCTCGATGAGCTCTGTGAGTTATTTAATAAACATTTCTCCTCCTCATTTAATACAGGCGCCTGTGTTGCACAAAAAAGATTGCCTCTACTCACTAGTGAAACAATAGATACAGTTGGGTTCAACCTGTATAGTATTAACAGACAAATAGCCGTCCTAAAGCATTCTTTTCACCCTGGACCTGACAGCATACCACCAGCATTGCTTAAACCCGCCGGGCCCGATATTCCCCTGTTCCTGCTAAACATATTCACCTTGTCAATTTAGACTGGTGTATACCCTGCCAAGTGGAAGCGGGCCACCGTCCTACTCCGACACAAATGTGGAGCACGCCACGAGCTATCAAATTACCGCCTCATTAGCCATGCTTCCTTATTAAGTCGTATTATGGAAATCATAATCAAAGAGTCATGGAGTTTTTTCAATGAACAAGATCTGATCGACAGGTCGCAACATGGATTCCTCCGTGGTCGTTCATGTCAAACTTGCCAATTTGAATTTCTGGACTACGTAACCAAGTCGGCTGACTCCGGGCAGTCGATGGTTATTCTCTTCTTAGACATGGAAAAAGCATTCGACCGCGTACCCCATGCAGAACTTCTAACAAAGTTAACCTCTTATGGGTTTGCTAGCATGGCTGTCATCTTTCTTGTCTACACGCACCCAATGTGTCAGAGTGGAAAACTGCGTATCTTCAAATATACCTGTAATCAGCTGCGTCATACAGGGAAGTTTTAGACCCACTGCTATTCCTACCATACATAAATGATATTTTCCGAATCTCTCGACACGGCTGACCCTTTCTTTTCGCCGATGATATCAAAGTTGTGTTCGCTTTTGATAGCATAAATGAATCAAATGGTGCCCAAACAATACAGATGGAGCTCTTCGCCCTTCAGCGGTGGTGCCGGAAGTGGAAAATGATATTCTGTCTGTAAATGTAAGGCCCTATTCTTCAGATTCAATCTTATTAATGTACTGACGTTAGATGACAAACCAGCTCGGAGAACAGAACAAAATCTGAACAAATCACCCGAGCTACAAGTATTCCGATTTATTGCTAACCAAGTACCTGCTGCACATCGATTCCTGACCTCGGAGTTCGCTACTCAAGCTCTTTCAATTTCTCCGAAGAAATACATTGTCACCACCAAAGCGAGATTTATCATAGCACGCATTTTCAATCCGTTACGTTTGAAAGACTTCAGGCTAGCTATGTATAAAGTATATGTGCACCCAGTCTTGGAATATTGCCCATTAGTATTCACAAATTTAAAAATGTACGACAAAATCAACCTTGAAAAAGTACAACGTTCTTTTACCAAACGGTTACTAGGGTTTGGATCCTTGAATTACCAACAACGGTGTAAACTGCTGAAGCTAGAATCACTATGGTTGAGAAGAATTAAGATTAATCTTATCTTCCTGTTTGATTTAGCGCATACCTCTTCTGGGGAGCCAGGTACTGTCCAGTTTGTCACTTTTCATCAATATCCAACTAGAAACAAATCATCCAGCTTTTGCGTCCCTAGAGTGCGTACAAGGTTGCGCGCCAAATTCTTTCTCATAAGGTATACAACGGTAAGGAATAAGCTGCCGGAATCCATTAGATGTAACAACTGGCTCAAGTGTTCAACCACCTCATCGTAGAGGTATTACGTATACTGGGCAAATCTACAAATCTAGACGATATTTAGGAGAGGCCCCATAGAACTTTAAAGGTTGAGCTTCACATCTACCGCATTCCAAATGCTGCTCGGTTTAGATCTCACCTTGTACATTAACTTCTGACCATGCTTATCTGTGTTTTCTATTTTACATCTTTTCTATGTTAAATGTTTTATTTCCCACACTTGGGCTACCGGGCTAGATTGTAGCCCTTGGGGTAATAGTTAACTTTCTTCTATCGTGCGGCTTGTCGTTGAATCTCCAGTGCCTAATGTACCGCGTTCAATGCCTCTTGCAGGTATATAAATTGATGCTGGTATAGACCATTATGTGCACTGAGGACAGCGCCTGCTAAGAGGGGGGATAATGCAGTCGGTCCGCGGGCGTCACGGTAACACGTTAACAAGTAAGAGTTCGATGGGTTTCGTTTCCTGTTATCCTTACCTTCCTATTCCATTCCAGCACTTTCCCTCCCCTCTTCCGTGCTTCCTTAGCTACCATCTTTACATCGGCCTCTTACTACGCGGCTGGAGCGTACAGCCGCCTACGAGGTATTTATTTTGCATTGCAGCTTGCCGCATTACTTGGACACGGAAGATCTTGGAAGGCCGGAGCGAAGGAATATGACAACTCATCCAAGAAAGTCCCATTTCCGCCTTCTGGTCAAACTGCGCTGGTCCAGATCGACGGGACATCCGTTAACGGAGGAGATAACAATAGCACAATCTTTTGCACTTCACCCTGAACAACGTGCATATGTGAAACTGACATGGATATAATATAACGCACGTTCCCATCTAATATGTAGAGGGGACTAAATGAAAAAATCTGTAAATATTTTGATCTTGCCCTATGTGGGAATAGTCTCTCGCATCGTCGAGAAATAAGAGATTCATGTATTTAAACTGAACTGATGGAGAAGATACGGATGTGGTTAATTTCACTGTTTTAGATTCCATGGAGACGGCCACAAATACAACCGAGACAATCTGATTCTTTCGGTCTGTATAATAAGCGTCTTTTTTGTTCTTAGCGAACACCAAGATGAGAAAGACGAACATATGCACTCGGCATGATCTTTAGTGTGCGACGAATATGAACGAGATCTGCATGCAAACTGGCATTCTACGGAACGGCGACTCCAATGTTCAGGGTAACGCTGAGCAGTGTAGCGATGACCAGCGTTGAAGGAGAAAATGCGTAGTCGTGGAGCGGTTGTTCGCGTACGAGAAATATGGCTTAATAAAGGGGTTGGGTAGTGTAGAAATTAATCGTTAGGGTTAAGAGGGCGAAGATTACGCGTGGATAGTGGCAGAACCGGCAGTGAATTTCAACAGAGCGAGTTGTGAAATCGTTCAAATATACACGTCTTGCATGGAGGTGTGTGTATGGCCTTGTAGGGGAAAAATGGGTGAGTTCAAGGTAGATATGATTTTGTTAAAGCAATCACAAGTATAAGGGAACAACATTTGTTGTTGTCTATGGCAAAGCTGGATCTGTAGTAGGCATCTCCATTCATATGAAACAATTTCCGGTCGCTCAGTTGCAGTACAGTGGTTCAGATGGAAACAAGTTATCAGTAGTGTATTAGCACTCCGCTTCGTTGTCAGGTAACGGTGGACAGTTGTATTCGGGTAGAACACTTAGCTTGTAAACCTAACTATCAGGGAAGACGTGAAAACTAGGGCATATAGGTTACAAGCAAGGCTTTCGAATCCCTGTCCCATAGAGCTCCGGTTATCCAGGAAAAATGGTGTAATTTACGGAGAATTTATTTTCTAGTTTTCCACTGGATGACTGTCTCTGATTCAACACGCTATTATCATGGAACCCGTAAGTTAATCGGTAAACGATAAAACAACAGATTAATCGAATCTAGGAAGATGAACGATACGGTGTAGATAAAATTGATCCCGACCATACAATACTTCATTCTTGGGAAGTGGACTGATCATACGTTTTGTGTACAGGACGGAATAAGCGGAAAGAATGTAACATGATGGGGGTAGTTAGCAGGTCTTCCTGAACACACCAATAAAAAACATTTATCAAACTAAAAGTATATTTAAAAATCTGGGCTAAAAGCAGAATAATGGAGCGGAAAATAGAGAAACAGAAGGGTAAGGTAAGGCACAGAGCAAGGAACATCATAGAATCTCAAGCAACTTGAAATTCAACTCGACAGAAACCTTCGAGTCCGAATGTAATCAAGTCACCAGATTCAACTGGACCTACTCCAGCCGGAGTTCCAGTAAGGATAAGATCGCCTGGTTCCAAACTCATCTTGTACGAAATAAAGGAGATGAGATCACAGGGGGAATGGATCATTTTGTTGATACTGGAACGCTGCCTCTCCTTTCCATTCACATCAAGCCAGAGTTCCACGTCCCGACCCTGACACAAGGGTGAGCCGGCAACACGGGGTGCAAAAACGCCACGAGGGAGCAAGCTGCAAGGCAGAATGGGGCCAACGGGGCAAGATGTGTCCAAACTTTTGGATAAAGTCCAAGGCAACTGACGGGACTTCAGCTGATTCTGCAATCCCCGATCGGTCATGTCCAAGGCAGCCAGAAAACCGAGAATACAGTCAGTGAACTAATAGAAGCAAATAACGCATGTATTAAAAGTAAGTAGGAGTGAAACAACGGACAGCGGTTGTAAAGGAAGCCAGAAAATGTGAGATGGGAGAAATTGATTCCGCGTAACCGTGATCCACCGACAATCGGTTATCGCGTATGAACACTCGTGCATTTGAGTGCAACCAAGTATCAGGTTCCACTTATCTTGGCAGCGGCAGTTGCCATATATCATTTTAGGACCTCTATGTATAAGGTAGACAACTACGTTAATGGCGAGATCCTCGTAGGTACTCGGTTCAGGGTGCATTGAAGCCGAAAGTGATCGATTGAGTGACAAAATTTAGGGCCAAAAGGTGGTGATCAGCTTATTGAAAGACACCTGGAGAGAGTAGCGGGATGATGATAAGGCATAGCACAACAAACACAACGTTCAAAGAGTTCTCAGGAGACTCACACAGTGGAAGATATGAGACAATGTCGTGCGAAACGAACTTGTCATCCGGGATCGGTGGTTTTGAAGTGGAACAAGAACGTAACGTGAGTGTACAAAGAACCGCTCCTTTTCTCACGATCAACCTCAGAATCCAGTTCTGGCGCATCTCTTGAAACATCCTGCATTATGTGGCCATTTTTCTTCCCCACGCTTTAACGCGTAGGAACAACAAGATCATTAGAAAGGAACAACTCAGGTTGTGACCCCGGCTTTAGAGTTTTGCAAGCACATAAATCTGCCGCATTTCGTTCGAAGTATTACCGTATAGGACAATAAATCATTGATTGTAGAAAGTAGAAGTCACGATTAAAATTCACGCACAATAATGTGCCTCGACGGGGAATCGAACCCCGGTCCACGAATTTCCGGTCCGCTGCTCTACCACTGAGCTACCGAGGGCTGACGATTAGGTGCGCAAATTTTAACACATGACTTCTGCTTGGTGCGCGACGTATTGCCAATGGGCTCACAGTACCTGTCCTGGTGTTGCAGATTGGCTCACTCACCCGTCACTTCACAATGGGCTGAAGTACCTGTCCTTCGAATGTCCAATCATTGAATTTATAATACTAGTGAAGACTGTGCATCGGTCGGAGCATACAGGTCGCCTAGGAGTGGTCGCCAAACAAACCACTGGAATCGTGGTGAGTATGAGAAAAGAGTAGGCGCGGGGGCATGACATGAGGCACATGGGCGCAGGTTTCTCCCATGGTATTCATAACTGCCAGTGACAAAACTGACAGAATGAAGACCGCCAATGTAACAGTAAAATGACTGGAAGAAGTTGAATGACGCAGACATTTGGTTTCCTCGACTAATGTAGTAAACTAAACTTTCGAGCCGGCAAACAGGAAATCGGAGAATATATCAGCAAATACGTGTATGGATTTCAGTGAGACTACGGAGAAAGAGAAACAGTGGGTAAGAAATAAAATCGATTACGGCGACTAAAACTCGGAAAATTGTTTCGCGTCCTTTATGATAGCTACCTTGATCTGAAAGCCAGAATTGTGGAGACGCTAAATAGGCATACAAATATCTGGCAACGCAACCAGGATCTACCTACAGGTAATACGACGGCTTACAGTATGGATTTGAAAAGTATTAAAAATATCAGTAGTTTTACAGAAGGCCTCATGAATAACAGCAGAGTGGGGCAGGCAAACAGAGATAAAGGAACAGACAGTAAACTAATCAGTAAATTTACTCATGCCGTGTTTCCAGTCGAAAAAATACGCATATGACACTGAGGCGAAAACTAAGGCTCAATGAGCAGCGCACTTGAGCGAAGGATATTAAATCGCGGAAGAACGCAATCCAGTAGGTAGTCGAGTTCAGGCAAACTCGAAAGTAAGCGTAAAGTGGACTAAATATGCAAGTGGATGAAACCTTACATTTGAACCTAAAATCCAAAGTGAATCGTTGAAAGTTCTTGCGTGAGTGGGGAGGAAAAAGTGACAGCGGACAAATATGTTAAGAGTTGAGAAACACAGACGATCCCAGCCAGAATTAGACAACAAGCAATATGCTCACATCTGTGGGCTTTGCCTTGCGTATCACCTTCCCGATGACAATTCCGAATTCGACTTCATGATGTAACTCCGAAACATCCTCAGGTATCTGTGTCAAGTTCCGAAATGGTTAGGAGAGACGGTGCTGTCCAGCGTACCTCGATCTTGTGACCCTGTTCGATAATGGAGCTGGATGGTTTCAAGAAAATGACCGGTTCAGCTTCCATTTGGCTACCAAGTTCACGGGCATGTTCACTACAGAAATACGTTAAAGATGAGCATGGGGCGGCGGAGTGAACATACAGGTAATTTCGTCCCACGGCAATGACTTTCCGGCACATTTGCCTCAAGTTCTGGTTCATTGGTACAGCCGAATAGCTGACAGTACAGCTGCAACAGAGAGAGGATAAAACAATCTCTTTACTCTACCGCAATCTGGAAAACCTAGTTGGATCCCCATACGAACAGCCCAGGACAACGGCAGTTAGAAAAGGTCACAGTTCTGCAAAAGACTGCCTATCGGAAGAATTGAAGGAAAACGAAAAAGCAAACGTAAGAGCAAATGCCAAGAGTGGTAGGTGGAAACAGCAGTAAAAAAAGTAAGGAAATGAAAGAGGCACATGGGAATTATAAAAATTCGAGTATTTTCCTTGTCACACACGGCATGTGCATTCAAGCTTTGTAACGAACGCTAAGCGCGACGATAAAATGCTGGAAACAGACTCAGCAATGAAAGGTTCCCATGTCCATCAAACCACGGAATTGAACCGACCTCTCGTTGATTCGGCGGAGTTGTACGTCACCAGGTGCGTCCCCAGGTTGCGGATCGAGGAGTGACTTCCTTGCGAAGGTAACCGTGAATAAGTCTCGGTTGTTCGCAGGCGAGAATAAGCAGTCGAGGACAACCAGTTTCAGGGTCCTAGAGCGCGGGGGGTTCTGAGCTGGTCACCTGGTTCCTAATTAAATACCACAACAGCTCGCAAGACGCTGTGTCAAAGCAAATGTGACCGGCTATAGTGTCACTGACCACTCACTTTTGGTCACAGAAGTGAGCACTTAACGGTGGGCGGATGAACAACTTCGATGGCCACCGGCTTCTATAAAGGCGTATGAGCCACCTGGCTGTCAACGGCCTTCGTGCTTGGGGGCTAGTTCGGTAATCCAGGGGATTCTGGCCTCCTTGCTGCTTCAGTCGGGCTCTGGGTGTTCTGAATAGTCTGCCTCTACTTGAAAGCCGTTTTATCCTCACCTAGATAGCCGGCTCCCAGCGATATAGGTTAATCGCCCCGCTGCCTTGCGGGGTACATCTTTTATGACCTAAGGCTCCGGGTGGAGTTCCCTAAGTCAACCCTTTTCCCCGGCCTGAGCAACCGGAAAGCACCATGCCCAAGCAACCTATGAATCCATGTCTCAACAATACATCGTTCACTCTCCGCTCTCGCTCTATCTCCTTTCAACCTCTCGAACTACTTTCCTCGGCCGACGTGCTGGCGGCTGAACATACAAAAACAACGTTTTACCGCACCGCCGTTTAATTCCTTTATTCCACGTTTGTTCAACCCCCATTCTTGGTCTTCCCCCACCGTATTCGAGTTCACAACACTGTGCCTTCTTGGGCGAACGTTCTCGCCATACGGATTAAGAGCCAAGGTAAAAGGGTGCGCCAAGTTGCGTTGACCAGCCATTGCTAACACCCCGTTCCCAATTCAACCTAGCAACCTTTAATGTTCGGGCGCTGATGTAGTTTGAATCACAGGCAGCCCTTGCTCGCACTCTAGATACTACGGCCATTAATGTTTGCTGTCTCAGCGAGACCTGTTTAAAAGACTCTAGCCCGATGCTGCGACTAGTTTCACCGTCAGCGAACTCCACTGGCATTTGCACTTTCCGCCTTGGCCAGCAGCACCATTGAGTTCCCATTCTGGAGTCCAGACCGCTGCTTGATGAGCAGACGCTTCACCACTATCCAGGACTGAGGTTACCCAGGAGCATCGCGTCTTGAAACGTTACAAAGCCTCTGGCCCAGATGAACTCCATCCGGCTATTTTTAAAGATGGCGGTCCATCAGTTGTTCAAGAGTCAATCTCTCTCCTCCAAGAGATCAGGGTTACTGAAATCTTCCCATCTGATTGGAGTCTAGCGGATATCGTACCCGTCTTCAAAAATGGTACCCGAACTGACTGCGCCAACCATAGGAAGATTATTCTCATCTGTGTTGCTTCCAAGGTGCTCGCAGCTCTGCTTTTAAGGAGGCTCAACCTGGTACGCGAACAGAACGTACGTGAAGAACAAACTGGGTTCCGCTCACGTCGAAGTTGTGTCGATAACATCTTTACGCTCCGTTAAATATTTGAGCGTCGTCAAACATTTGGCCAGCCAACGATCGTTGTTTTCTTAGACATACCAGCCGCGTTTGACACAGTAAACAGAGCTGCTCTCTGGAGTTGTCTACTGAGAAGGGGAGTGCCCGAGAAGTATGTCACCTTACTTCAAGCCACCTACTCTCAAACCTCGGGCCGAGTGGGGGTGTATGGCGGACATTCGCTCTCCTTTACTATCACTAGTGGCGTGAGACAGGGTTGCCCAGCATCCCCCTTCTTGTTCAATTTCGCTATGGAGGAAATCCTGGAGAGTGCTCTGGAGAACTGCGAACCCAGAGGCGTCGAACTGTGTCCGGGGGACCGACTTCGGGATTTGTAGTATGCAGACAAGATCGCCGTAATCTGCGAGTCCCTTACAGGCCGCCCAAAAGGTGCTGTGCAGGTTGGCGATGTCTGTCTCCCAGTTTGGAATGACCACCCCTTCGAAATGTAAGGTCTTCGCACAGGACTGACCAGGATCTGCTTCAACCCCAACCCTTTCAGGTCAATCTCTGGAAGCGGTAGGAGAGTTTGTTTACCTCGGAACCAGCATTAACTCTAATGGTTTAATGGATGAGGTCTGTTTCCGCGTGACTAAGGCTTGGGTTGCGCTTGTTAATCTCCGCCATCTCTGACGTCAAGGCGACCTGAGTCTCTCTCTGAAGGGCCGGGTTTACAAGACCACAGTGAGAGTGGTTCTGCTCAATGGCTGCGAGACGGCATGTTCGCACAAAGGATGTTAAGAGGCTGTCTATTTCTGATCACCGCATCCTTCCGAGCATTGACAATGTAGGATGACATCACACAATTAAGGAAGATGTTCGACGGAGGATTTTCAAATCAGACAGACTTCACCGGTCACTGAGCAGCATAATTTTTCTGAGCAGACTTCAGTGGCTTGTGCGTGTTCGTCGCATGCATACACATCGCTTATTTCGCCGTGCCCTCTTCGAGTGCGCAGAAGTGGGCTGGAAACGAAAACAAGGTGGCCAACGCATGACTTAGGCTAGGAACATGAAGGAGCTAACGTCAAACTTGGTCGTGGTCGAGCGCTCTCGGCTCTCTGGCTGAAGTGTGAAGGATCCAGAACACACATGGCTGCAAACGCACCCGGATATGGCATGAAGCCGTGCGGAATGGCGGAGTTGCTGCGGCTCCCTAATCCTTTGAACACCGTTTATTTACCCCTGCTCCCTTCGTTTAATGTGTTTACCATAAGTTGTGTCATTATGCTAATTGTACTATTGGCTGTGCTAAACATATATATATATATATATATATATATATATATATATATATATATATATATATATGAATCGCGGCATCCGGTTTCGGATTTGCCTGTCACTGTGGCCAGCCACAGGACGCCTGCGCCTACAGAGGGACCATGGATGGCTTGCGCCGCACTACCCACAGCTCCATCCACACACCCCATATCCAGTGTAAACCCGAAGGAATAAGTCCGGGAGACATGTGGATGGGAGCCACGTTTCCTCAACGGAGCCGGACCACACTCCTTCACAGGCAAACACAAGCGCGCTGTATTTGGGGAATCAACCGCACACAAGGCGGTGGCTGGACCGTAGTCCGTTCCACACTGACTGCATGGAACCACTCTTCGAGCCTAGCACGACCACAAGGACTGTGCACCCCGTCCCCTCCAGCAACGACCAACTGTCTCCTGGAGCCAGTATGGACGAGGTATTGGGTAATAGACAGGTAGGCACCTTGTCAACATGCACATCAAGCGAAACCACACCGGGGATATCAAGCAACAGTCAATCACTTGAGAGAAAGCTAACAGAAAAGAAATCGAGTAACGCATAAGGAAACGGTGACATAAATCTTAAATTAATGAGCATAGGAAATAAGTTGTTAACAAAGGATACGAGATAAGTTCAGGGGGTCAAAAAGTATATTTTACGGAAATGACACAAACGCGAAAATGTTATCGAAATTAACTACAATTGGCTTAAGCGAGTTGTGCAGGTTTATAGAAGAGCGCACAGGTGGACATTTATTTGAGAAAGAAAAGCATTAGGACAAAATTGAAAACCCACCACCTGAAATAAAGAGACTTAGCATGCAGGCACGCGGTTAGTAAATCGATATATATATATATATATATATATATATATATATATATATATATATATATATATATATATATATATACTGAACTTCCACGTCAATGAGGATGAACCGTTATGGTTCGTGAGAATGCTGAACAGTAAAGCAAAGAAGGCAATGAGATGTCGGTCTGAAGACAAAAACGGTGCTAAAGAATAAGAAATCATAACAGACATGATTATGGAGGGAATCAAATGAGTGATATCGTTTGATGCTCTCGTTTCACGGGCATTAACGTTGACGTGGTAGGTACATAGTACACTTCGAATTACCTTCGTCTCTCTTCTAGGTCGATGTCACGGTAATTAGATTCCATTGAGCGAAGGTCGTCCCATGGATTGACAACTTTATATTTACGAGGGTCAAATCTGAGAGCCTTGTGTACATCACGAACAACTCGGGCTTCGCTACCATCTATGAAGCTGTCATCGCTCTTGTAGTCATCGAAGGCAGCGAAATCCACGCCCTCTGTTTCCCTTCCGAAGTCAAAACTGACTCTGAGTTGAGTAGCAATACCCCTGGCACTGATGGGCTGAGCCTACATTGATGAGCCCTTCGTTTGCCAGTAACCGTTGGTTTCGGTCTTTTCGGGATTATTCCTGTGTTACATTCCAGGGCCCAACTTAGAACCATATGAGCTGAGGGAGAAAGGTTTCTTAATAGCCGAACACTCCTGTGTTCCCTGAGACTGTGTCATAGGATGCCTTTGTGCAGGAACATCGTTCTTGGGAGGACTGTCACTGCGACGATCTCTGATTTTCTCCTTAATAACAGATGCAGTGGAAAGTGCAATAGAGGAAACCCGAGGTGATTTACTTGGGGCATACATTTGGCGGGAGCAAAGCTGCTCAGCGATCGCGTTCCTAGAATGCTAAGGAAGCTTCTCTTTTTCTTTCTTGGTGTCTGGATAAATGACATTAGTTGAACTGGGACTGGCAGGGTGTAAACAGACCGACGATCTAGACTCCTTCCTCAAGAGCTTTTGTCCGGATGCTGACGCCGGTGGTTGACTCGAGCCGAGCGAGGCGACCTGGTGTGCCTCACGTTTAATGGGCATCGTTGCAGCTGACACGCCGGTGTTTAGAGAGTTCGTGATTTCCGTTTATGATCCCACCGACTGCAGTTTTAATGCTGTCAAGGAAACATTCTATCACGACATAAACGCGCTACTACGCAGTGCTACTAGTTTAGATATGATAGTACTTGCAAGGGATATGAACGCACGCACTTCAGGAGCTCAACTGGGTGGTAATTAGGGGCTTAACTCCAAACGGACTGACAGCGACGATCGTATGCTGCAACTGTGCGCAGAGCACCAGTTGTTTCTTAGTAGCACTGCTTTTAGACACAGTGGGCACCGAGGTGTCACTTGGCGTCCTCCTGTAGCTGGCCAGCTATGGACCCAAATTGACCACATAGCCATAAGTTACAGATGGCGTGGTGTCATCCTGGATTGCCGCGCGTACTGGAGTACCTATGTCGACTCTGATCACGTCCTGGTTTGCTGTCGTTTCTCCATGAACTTTACCGGGATCGCACCAAGCGTCTCCTCTACTTGGCAACTGAGAAATTGTCTCAGCCCCCGGTCAGGCAAGACGCACTGCATACCGAACTTCCGCTGTCTTGTCCAAATGACACTGAGATTCAGTGGAACAGGAACTCGGCCGCCATGCAGGAGCATCTGCTTGTGGCACTATCCATCGTCACCGCACCAGTCACTGGATATCCGAGAGGTCGGTGAACTCACTTGGAATCTAGAAGACACCTCTCGGCTGGCTCCGAACACAATGTGACCAGACGGGCTATTAGGCGTGAAATAAAGCAGAGCATACGTGGTGACAAGGAAGCCTGGTGGACGAGTCGGGCTCAAGAAATGAATTAGGTAGGAGCAGTATTCAATTAACGCAAGCTCATCCAGCTGAACCACCCCACTGGTCCCAGAAAATTAGGCGTCAGTGAGACAATCAGAGACAGCGCGGGTGCGCTGATACACAAGAAGGAGCGCCGTATGGTTCGTTGGGCGGAACACTTTCAAGATCAGTTCAGCTGGCCCCCTGCTCCCGGACCTCTTCCTACTCAGGTGATGCAGGACGAGCCATGGACGGTTAGTTTAGAGCCTCCGTCGGAGGTCGAGGTCCGAAACGCGATCACAACCCTCAATCGTTTTCGTGCTGCTGGCCCGGATTCCCTCCAAACCTGCACTATGTAAGGATGGAGGTGAGGTCCTCTGCAAAGCACTGACCTCCCTATTCGAACGTATCTGCAAGAAAGTACCCCGGCTCATTGGAGCAAAACGATTATAGTGGCAATATACAAGAAGTGCAGTCGCACAGACTGTGCGAACCACAGGGGTATTAGCCTAACGCCAATTGTGTCAAAATTACTGGCCTCGATTGGCGTTCGTCGCCTCACTGCGGAACGGGAATTTCGGATTATGGAAGAGCAAGCAGGTTTCCGCCGAGGACGGGGCTGTGTAGACCATATATTCACCCTGCGGACAGGTGCTAGAGCAGCGCAACACATACCGCAGACTGACAATAGCTGTGTTCTTTGATTTCAAGTGTGTTCGATTCAGTCGATCGATGCATTCTGTCCAAAATACTTGCGCGGAAAGGTGTTCTCCCGAAATATGTGAACATTCTTCGTGCTCTATACTCTAACACTAGAGGCCGCGTCAGGGTCTATGGTGCCCTATCGGATAGCTTTCCGTATACAAGTGGCGTTCGACAGGGTTGCCCGATTTCCCCGTTTTTTGTTCAATTTCGTCGTGGATTCTATCATGGAGTGTTTCCTTGCGGAATCTCACGATGTAGGCGTTGAAGTGCTGCCTGGTGAAAGGTTAGTTGATCTAGGTTATGCGGACGATATTGTCTTGCTTTTCGACAATGTTGCGGCGGCACAATCAACCATGAATAGCCACTCTGTAGTGGTCCCGTTATTTGGTATGCACTTCGCACCTTCAAAGTGCAAAGTGTTGCTGCAGGGCCACCAGACGGTTTATAACCCCTTGCCCCTTGCTAACGATGAACTCGAGGTGGTTGGTCAATTTACTTGTTTTGGCAGCTGTATCAGCAACGATGGGCGCATAGAAACTGACGTCAGCTCACGCATCGCAAAGACCAGAGCTGCCTTCTTGAACCTGCGGCATCTTTGGCAACAGAAGAGAATTTCCCTCTCTGAAAGGCCGTGCATACAAGGCCACAGTGAGGGCCGTTCTTCTCTATAGTAGTGAGACGGCCTCTTCGGTCTGAAGATCTGAGGCGCCTTCAAGTTTTTGATCGTCGTTGTCTGCAAAGCATTGTTGGTGTCGGATGGTACCAGCGTGTCCGCAGCGATGATATGCGTAGACGAGTACTACATAGTTATAATTATGCTAGCTCCTCAAAACAACAGATAGCACTGACTAAGTTGCGTTGGCTCGGGCACGTGCTACGCATGCCTGGTCACCGCTTACCTGGGAGGGCCTTGCTCAGTCTACCAGGGGTAGGGGGCACAATGCTCGAGGTGGACAGAAGTTGACTTAGCAGCGGGAAATGAAGTCACTGACAACCAAACTGGGTGCCGTTGGTCCGTCTCGCCTTCCGGGTTGGAGTCCACGTGACTCGCCTTGTGCTTGGCTTGAGACTTTACAGAACATGGCCCGCAACCGACACTAGTGGCGCGTCTGCTGCCATCTCCTAATCGGATTGCCTGTTTAAAGTGTGTTTGGTGCTGAGTTATCTGCGGGGTAATGGCTGAGTATGACGCGTAGCAGTGAAAGCCGCGAGGAAACAGTCTCGCTGATGCCGCCTTATCTTTGCACGATAGCCAGCTGTTTGTGACGGTATGTTGTCTACACAAGGTGTGGAGGACTTGATCCTGAATGTTTGCTTAGGGCATTAAGGTTTTCAGGTAAGTCCCCTTTCTCTCCCTCTTCTTATTCTTTGTTTCATAGGTCCTCACGGTTGTATGGCAGCGAAGTATCAGTTCAAATGGCTGACGTACTGCTGTTGATGATGATGATGTTGGTGTTGTATGGACCGAGATTGGAGCCACTGAGGACGCTGATCGATGGTAACTCAGGTGCTACCTGCCCACCGACTGCAGAACTGGCAAAAATACTTTGAGTGTCTCTAGAACAATGGTTCAGAGATCCACTGACCTACATCGAATGGCATGCGGCAGCGAGGTGAAGGCGAGTTTGGATGAGACGCAGAGAGCACTTGCTCAGCTACGGAACGATAAGTGTGCCGAGGCCGACGGGATCCTACGTGAAGTATAGAAACAAGGCGGACCCGCATTGTTGACTGCGCTGCACCACTTGGTGCAACGCGTATGGATTGTTGAGATGATGCCTTCTGAGCTGAAGAATGCCCTTGTACTACCACTGTATAAGGGCAAAGAGACCAATCAATGTGGCACGAATTATCGTGCATCAACTTGCTGAGTAGCTGGCTTCCCGAGCAACCTCCTCGTGGTGCCAGCTGGGTGGTTCGGGATTTCCCGTTCCAGAAAATGGTTCCGCGACAGTGTTCCAGGACGTGGTGGGTTTTCGCTTGGCAAGCGTTTTCCCTATAAAAAGCCACATATGTCCGCTTAACAACACTGCGACGTGGCGGATGTGACTCGCCACTAAATAAAGTCACTGCCTCTTGCCCCTCCCTGAGAGGCATTGTACTTCAGGGATGCGTTGGGCCCCTGGTCCTTCACGGACCGAAAGGTGTATGAACCATCCATTTGGTCACCGGCTCCCAACGGGTTGCGACGTCCTCACATCGCCCTGCTGCCTTGTAGGTTAGATCTTTGATCAAAGGCTCGGGGTAGGGCCCCCTAAGACAACCCACTGCTTCGGCCTGGGCAACCGGGTAGTATCACGCCCACTGACGAATCATGGACCACACCGCTTACTACTGCTCCTGCTATGCCTATCTTCTATGCTAACTCAACCGCTCAACCTCCACTCACAGATCATCCCACCTCCCGTCCTTCACTTATATGTACCCTTATGTCCTTTTCAGTCACTGTCACAAACGATCCACGTCTCGCAACTGATGGAAGCAACAGCCAAACTCCCGGTTTTCAAAGTCCTGCGATCGCAGCCGTCTCTCACTCCACCGAAATTCCACCTCTTCCTCGACCTCGTTCTCTATTCATGCTCGCAGCGTTTAATGTTCGAACTTTGATGCAGATCGGACGACAAGCATGTCTGGCCCGTACTCTTGAAACGCTTTCGGTAGACATCTGTTGCCTTTCAGAGACCAGGTTACAAGACTCTAGCGCCGTCATCAGAATGCCCTCTCCGGTAAACCCTGACGCCAAATACCACTTGCGGCTTTCCGGAGACCTAGAAGCTGCCGCCACTGGCCAAGCTGGTATTGGAGTTGCACTGAGTGCCAGGGCTGAATCAGCTCTGCTTGACTGGATCCCAGTCAACAGTCGGCTATGTGCAGTCAGACTACGAGATTCATGTAATGTAAGCAGGCCTCGCAACGTTAAGTGTGATTGTTTGTCATCTCCGCCTGCGCCCCTACAGACTGCAGTCCGGATGCAGTTAAAGATAGCTTTTACCAGCAGCTACATGAACTTCTGCGTTGAAGAGCCATAGGACCTCCAGGGATATCAACAATATTCCAGAGCTTTAGGTCATCTGCAAATAACAGTGATTGTACCTCAAGCTCCTCCGGCAAGTCATTCACGTAGACTGAGAACAGCAGCGGACCTAGGACAGAGCCTTGCGGAACGCCGCTAAGTACAGCCTGTCGAAACGAAAGACTGCTTCCCACACGAATACACTGTTCCCGTCCAGCCAGAAAAGCTGACATCCACTGGAGAGCGCGACCAGCTATTCCATACGACCTCAACTTCAGTGAGAGTCGCAAATGGGGGACAGTGTCAAAGGCCTTGGCGAAGTCAATGAACACCACATCCACCGCATGTCCACTGTCTACGGCTTCAGCCCAGCACTCACGAGCTACCAGCAAGTTCGTTTGACACGAAAATCCTTTGCGAAAACCATGTTGCTCGACGCTAAGCAGGTTAAACCTATTTAAATGGTTCTCCACTGTATCTCGTACTAATTTTTCAAGTAACTTAACGACCACGCTAGTCAAGCTGACAGGCCTGTAATTAGCCGGTAGGTCTGTCACCGCACTTGAAAATCGGACAGACAACAGCCTCCTTCCATTCAGTAGGTAAAACACAGCTGTTGAGTGACTTCTGAAACACACAAGTCAGAGGTCCACTGAGTTCCCCTGCCAATTCGTGCAACAATTTTGGATGAACAGAATCTGGCCCAGAAGCCTTAGTTGGATTCACCTCTTTTAGCAACCGGAGAACTTGGGACTCCGTTACAGGAATCTCATCCAGACAACAGTCCTCAGGGACTCTTGGAGCTCTTTACATGGCGTATTTGTCTCGCGGACAAAGACGCTTGAGTACTGCTTACCAAGCACGCATGCCTTGTCATAGTCGCTATAGGCATGGGTCCCATCTCCTCGAAGCAACGGTGGAATGGGCGAGTTTGCACCACAGCATCGTTTAATGTAAGCGAAGAATCTCTTGGGATTTTTCGAAGCAGTATTAACTAAGCCCTTTTCATATTGAAGCCGGGACAACCTAAGATGTAGCTTGCACTCATTTCGAACCAACCGATACTTGTCAAACGTGCTGTTCGACGGAGCTGTTCGGTAAGCTTGCCAGCATCTAGTCCGCTTCTTTAGCAGGCCATTCCCCGCGAAATCTATCCACGGAGGCTGCGCTCTTGATTCCCTTCTTTTTACCAGTGGGACGTGAGGTGCAAAAATGTCGACGAGGTGAGCCTTAAGCTGTTCCCAGGCTATGTGAACAGTGTCGGTCTCAGATATTACACAAGGCGATGACCTAGCTCTATCCCGCATCGCTTGGAAGTACGCGGCCCAAGTGTTCGGATACCAACTGGTAGTAGCTTGGCAACGCCTGATAAGGGTACACTGGAAAGACAACCAAACGTGATCGCTAGCGCCAAGAGGCGAGTCGTATTTAATGTCATTTACAAAGTCAAGTGACTTAGCAAAAACAAGATCTAAAATGGACGGCTGCTGATTGCTCATGTACCTAGTGGGAAGGTCCACGAACTGGTGTAGTGGTACCTGTAGCGTTAAGTCCAGCAGTTCTGTACCGAACGATCCCAGCGCAGAACTGCAAGATAGATCATCTCAACAGACCTCTGGGAGGTTGAAGTCTCCCAGCACCAGACACTTGTTCGCAGAGTGAGTGCGTATAAACTCTATGATTCCATTTGAGGTGCTCATAGGGCTTCTATACACTAACACGACCGTAACCTGAACCGAGGAAGCGCAAATCAATACTGCGAGTGCCTCAACAGATTTGTCGAGAGACTGAAAAACGCTGGTCCTCAGTACGTCGATGTGATAACTCACATAAAGAGCTACACCACCCCCTTGACGGCCAATGGAGCGGTCAGCGCGGAACAATGCGTAGCCAGGCAGATATACTTCGCCATCTGTGATTTCCTCAGACAGCCACGTTTCAGTGAAAGCAAGTATATCTGGACGAGATTTGTCTACGAGCAGACCCACCTCGCACATCTTGTTCCTCAGGCTACGCACGTTACTAAGTACTACTTGGAGGGCTTCGGCACGACCAGCCCTGGGTCGTGCGCCAGTAGTATAGGTTCTGGCAGGGCGGAAAATGACCACCGGCTGACCACCTGAAAACCCACCAATCGGAGACCTTGCTCGCCAGCTGCACGCCGGCCTTTTAGGTCTCTGATGGCTTCCTTTAATTTTAACCTATCCGCTAACGGAAGGTCTGGTTGCACACTAACCGTGGTACCTTTGAGCTTGAAGGCAAATCTCAGTAAGGCCCTGCGCTCTTCTCGGGTGGAGAGGACCACCCTAAGCAGACTGAGTCGAGGATTTGGTTGACCAACCGGAAAGTTCCCCAATCTGATGAGCTTCCTGACAGTAACGCCAGGAAAACCTGGTGGTAAAAGCCTGGTCACGCAAACTTTAAGCCAACCAAGATCATCAAGCATGCGCTCGGTGGGAAGAGCGGCAGTGGATTCAGTGACGTTTCTGAAAATCACACTGCTATCTGTGTAAGAATCGCCTCGACGAGGTGTATTTACACCACATGCTCTACCATTCACGCCACACGGTTGTTTGACAGGAATCGGTTGGACCGAAGGCGACGGCACCTCATGTCTCACTGAGGGAAATGCAACACCAGGTGGTGTTTCCAACACAGGCGCCTATTTCTTGAGCCCTTTATCACCTTCCGGTTTAGGGGCAGGGGGTTTGCGAGTTTTCCTTGCCCTCTTACGCTTATTCTTCAATGGCCCAGGAGCCCGTGACTCGCCTTCCATTTGGGGCGGGTCAACAATGCCGTCCGAGGCATCTGTGTCAGTTATATCCACGTGAACTGGAGCGTCCGGTAGGATGAACGCCTCGTCAACGGTTGAACTGTCAGCAGAAGGACAGTCCGTTACAGCGTCCACATTCGCGATATTCAGGGATTTCATAATCAAATCCACTTTAGAGTTGAGCGAGGCAAGAGAGGCAAGCTCGGCTAATGCCTTCTCAACAACTGTGAATCTGGATGCTAGTGCTTTGAATTCAGCACAGGTGAAAGCCGGGAGCTTCGCTTTCTGAGCGCAACAATCAGCACATCTAAACAAGATTTTCACTGGATGATAGCACGTTGTACTGACTTGCTCGGAGGCCGGTGCAACTTTTGTGATACCAACGAGAGCAAACATCACACTGCATACCACCAGATGAATCCGTCACTGGCCTTGAACAGGCAGAATTGCTGCAAGCTGCATTTGACTCATCAAACGAAGACTCAAGGTGTTCATTCAAGTTCAAGTTCAATTGGGACCGGAACAGTAGGAAAATCCCACGAATGTTCCACCTTCGAAAACATCGTTGATCCAACAGGGAAACCGGTGCCTTGATGTGCCAAAGGAGAGCCAAATCAATACACACGATTCATATGGTCAACCAAACAATGCCCACGTGCCCTGCACTAGCAGTCCCCGCTGTGCCTGCCACGTGAAGAATAAAAGAAAACAGTAGTGTCAGTAAAGAAAAGAAAACAGAGGAGAAGACAAGCTAATCGAATATCGTAGGCAATATTAAGATGTAAGTTAAAATGAGTTAAAGAAGCGTAAGCCGTAATAGACGAAGAAAAGTTTAAGACACGAAGGGGAAGACTTTAAACTGCAGACCGAGAGCGTCAAGTCGATGCTCGAACTCTTTCAACGTCGGTGCCATCACGACGTCTGCAGGCAATGTGTTCCAATAAGCTATAACCCTACGCGATAATCTAAAAGTTGCCAAAACCCGGTCAGACCGGGGTTTGTGCAACTTTAATGGGTGGCCACGAAGGGTTGGCATTCGAGTTGGGCGAAACAGTCCAGTCAAATCAGGACCAATCTGACCCATCAATATACGATATGTAAGGACCAAGTCGCCCCGAAGCCGCCTGTAATACATGGAAAACATATCCAACTTACGTAGCCTCTCCGGGTACGTCAGCTTCTTTAAGTCGTACACCATTTTCGTCCCGGACCGCAGGACTCGTTCAACTGCCATCTTATCACGAACCAGGCATGGAGGACAAGCCTGGACGCAGTATTCCAAGTGCGGCCTTACAAAAGCCGAAAATAGTCTAACAAACATGTCGGTGGTCATGATCCCGAATGACCTGCGGATCATCCACAACATGTTGAAGCCTTTACGAGCAGCTGTCTTCCAGTGTTCACTGGACTTGAAGTCAGATGACAGCAAAACACCGAGGTCAGATTGGAGTTGAACTCGCGGTACCTCGTTGCCGCCAAGCAAATAACGCGTCGGCGGGTCATTCGGACCAACGCGTAGAACGGAACATTTCCCTAAATTAACTGGCAACTGCCACAAAATTGACCAGTCCCAAAGTCTATCCAGAGCCTCCTGTAGGGTCAGTGGACCAATCGGCTCGTCTATCGTCCCCCCACCCACCCCCCCACCCCCACCCACCCCCCCCCCCCACCCCCACCACCCCCCCCCCACACCACCCCCCCCCCCCCCCCCCCCCCCACCACCCCCCCCCACCCCCACCCCCCCACCCCCACCCCCCCCCCCCACACCCCCCCACCCCCCCCCCCACCACCCCACCCCCCCCCCCACCCCCCCCCACCCCCACACCCCCCCCCCCACCCCCCCCCACCCCCCCCCACCCCCCCCCCACCCCCCCACCCCCCCCACCCCACCCCCCCCCCCCACCCCCCCACCCCCCCCCCCACCCCCCCCCCACCCCCCCACCCCCCACCCCCCACACCCCACCCCCCCCCCCCCCCACCCCCCCCACCCCACCCACCCCCCACCCCCCCCCACCCCCCCCACCCCACCCCCCCCCCACACCCCACCCCCCCACCCCCACCCCCACCCCCCACCCCCCCACCCCCCACCCCACCCCCCCCCACCCACCCCCCCACCCCCCCCCCCACCACCCCCCCCACCCCCCCACCCCCCCCCACCCCCCACCCCACCCCACCCCCACCCCCCACCCCCCACCCACCCCCCCCCACCACCCACCCCCCCCCCACCCCCACCCCCCCCACCCCACCCCCCCCACCCCCACGAAGGCTTGAAGCTGCTCGTCATGATGACTCCTAAATCGCGTGCCTGGGTAGTGCATTGTAAGGAGAAGGGCCCAAAGGAAGTCTGAACTGCAAGTACGTCTCTACTAGTGGTCAGAATTTGGCACTTGCTTGCATTCAAGAGCAAGTCCCATTGCTTCGACCAGTGTACCACACTGATGATATCCTTGGCCAGTGTTGCACGGTTGCCCCTGCTGACTAGCTTCAAGTCATCCGCAAAGATATAACAGGGGTCTTCAATAAGAGGAGCCAAGTCGTTTATAAACATAAGAAACAAAAGTGGACCTAGCACCGATCCTTGGGGTACTCCACTGTAGGCCACGCCCACACTAGAACTCACATCACCGATTCTAACTCGAAACGTTCTCCCACATAAGAATTCTGACACCCAAGACAGAAGTCTAGGATGTACTCCGAACCATGCTAATTTTTCAAGTAGGAAACGGTGATTTACTGAGTCGAAAGCCTTGCTAAAGTCAAGATAGCAGACCTCTACCGGAATCCCGTCGTCAAGACATCGAGTAATCTCATCGAGGAAGCACAGTAGATTAGTGAGGCACGACTTCTTTTTAATGAAACCATGCTGCTCTGCTCTAAGTACACTGTGTTCCACCAAATGCTCACAAATTCGGTTTCTTATAAGCTTCTCTAAACACTTGAGCAGAACACAGGTTAGACTGATGGGTCTGTAGTTAAGGGGATCCGATTTGGAGCCACCCTTGTGCCTATATTTAGTTCTAGTCTCTCGATAACTATCATATGTACTGGAAGATGGAGCTGGTTGGTAGATTCCTTATCATCTAGACCATTTCTTGGGTAGGTACTTGCCTGTGGTATCTATCCATGGAGGCTGTGCTTGAAACCATCTTTTTCTCATGAGTGGAATACGGAGAGTGACAACCTCGTTAAGGTGTGCCTTAAATTTGTCCCAGGGTAACTAGACGGAGTCGGCAATCGAGATCTCACCGTTAAAA